CTTCCTGAAAAGGCTTTTGCTGAAATGTCTTTGAGCTTTTTGTAAGTAACTTGAAATCTATGAATTATTTGCAAATTCTAAGGTGTCACATGGAGATCATTAATATATGTAGATTACTTACGAGTTCTCTGTTTATTTTTCTCTGTAGGTTTTTACATGGAAACCGAATCAAAAACATTGATGCGAATGCTTTTCGCGGCCTCACTGATCTGGGTTTGGTGTAAGTTGTATTGAATAGAAGTAAACTGAGATGCTTTTCTTTCAGCTTCGTACATAGTTCTATAGTATTTAGCATTTTAAAAAAAGTTCAGTGTCGATCAATTTTTTAGTTGGTTTGTCTAAATCAGTATCACAATCTTGATGGTTTTATGTCAAGTTTCCCCTTCACTTTTTTTAGTACGGGATGGCATCAAATGTATTCTGCGTGAGGGAAATTGCCATTTTAAAGCAACTCATTCTTAAGCCAATCATATAAACAAATTAACTTCTTGAATTCTAGGATGTTATTTGAAAACCCCGCCTTAATGTCACTTCCAAGAAATGTATTCAATGGACTGACTAAAAATGTTACTTTGTAAGTATAGATAGTTCTCAATCTACTAACTAGGATAAATTTCTTCAAAGCCCTTTTACATTTAATAAGTATGAACTTTGAGTCATTAATACAATTGCATACCCACTGTTCCTCAATGTAGTTGAGATATTTAAGAGAGGTTGTCAGTAATTTTCGAGAATCCGGCGACAGAAGCAAAAATTCAACTTTTTTTATTTTCTCAAAAAGACCCTTTTGGTGAATCGTTTCCAAAAATAATATTCAAAAGTTCCAGCGAGTTTTTATTTTGGAAAAAAATATGAAAGTTCGAAATCGGCCAAAACGTACCTAATTTGCATAATTTCTATTGGGCTTTCAGTGCATTTTCACAACGCTCGTACAAGACAGCGAAAAATTATCTTGGATTCATTTTTTCATAAGTTGTTTTTCATCCCTCGGAGTAGCTTTGCAACTTTATTTCATCTCTAACTGAACTTTCTTTCGTTTGTAACCACCCGCGTAAAGTACACTATATTTTCTATTCCGTTTGTACGCTGAATTTTGCTATATTTCAGACGACCATAACATCGGGGGTATACGAATGTACATAAAATAAAAGAGCTCTTTTCAACGAGAAATTCTTCATGTTTATCATGTAAAAATATTATTTTTGGCCCGTGAAAAGCGAGTGCGCCAGACCAAAATATATAGCTTGCAGTTTCACGGAGTTAGGCCATTTTCCTT